ATCCAATATTATGAGGCACTTGCCTTCCTTGCCGCCTCCATTGTATTTTTATAATTTTATTTATATATATATATATATATATAAATATTTTTTCCCAGTTTTAGTTTTAGTACATCAAGGGAAACTAAATGACAATAAGAAATGTTGCCTTGGCAACTAGTTGAAATTAATATTTGTATAAAAAATGTTTTTTTATATATATTTTCCGTTTTTATCTACATTTTAAAGTGTTGCTAATTTTGTTGTGTTTTTTGTCATTTTAATTCATTAATTTTTTTATTTCCCTATTTTTACAGTTTTAGTTTTAGTACATCAAGGGAAACTAAATGACAATAAGAAATGTTGCCTTGGCAACTAGCTGAGATAAAATTATTTTATTTCAGTGAACATTTATTTTTATTTCAAGTAACAAAAATTGTTTATGGTTTTAGTTTTGGTATGTTTTCTATAATATCCCTGCTGCATACATCATTCACTATGTATTGTCTGACTGCATGTGATAAAAATGCAAAATATGCCAAAAAAAAAGCCCAGAAAGCTGCACATAAATGGCTAGTTTACATATTTGTTTTAGTCCAATTGGTGATTGGCAGGTGAGTAGCTGGTCTTTTGTCCAGGATGCATTTGGACAAATTACAGTAGCGTTTATACTACAAAAATATAATAGATACAGATATTGTAGTGGTTTAGTGTAAAGCAGCACTTTGTAAAAGAGCATCGTCCATCACTGCAGTTCTGTCGTGAGTTTGCTTCACGACTGCTGGTCTCGTGTCTCGGTTTGTGTCATTTCTGTCTGTTATTTGTCTTTATTTTCTGTTTCTTTGTCTCTCTCCCCTTCCCGTCGCTCTCATGTCTCCACGTCTCATGCCTCTGGGTTTGACATGTGGCAGTGGAAACCATCCAGAGTAACCCTCACCTCCTGTTGGAGAGTGTGAGCTGTGCCATTTATATTTATAATCTTTTTTTCTTTTTCTTTTTTTGAGAGGAGGGGGTGCTTTTAGAAAAGAAATGTTTAATTTTATAAAAATAATGGACCTTAAATTTCTAAATATTTCTTTCTTTTGATTTTGGTGTAAAATATAACGGTCCAAACTATATATGGGTAGTGTTTGGCAAACCTGTTTGGAAACCAGCATTGTTTTTGCAATTTCATTTCTTGCAGCCAGTGCTATAGAAATGACACACTTCACCTTTAAAATGACAATACAGCAAGAATAATAAGACAAATCTAAATTCAAGCATCTTGACTCTTGACAAATCCTGATTCTGATGATGGGTTGCATGTGTATTTGGTAGATAATGCCCCATGAGGTCTTCAAATAAATTGGACTCGGGGGCAGTATTTACTACTTTTTCTCTTTTTTGGTTTTGTGTTTGCCTCTTCTTTTCACTCCCTTTCATCATTTTGAATCAAACGGCCCTTTTACAAATGAATAATGATGCATCATTTTAGCTCCGTTCCAAAATCTAGTGAGATCTCGTTGCTGCCCAGTGAGCGCACCTGTCACTAGGTTTTAGAACAGAGATGTAGTCAGTACTGAAAATTGTCAGATTTCTGGGCCCTAATTTCCCTGTCAGTCCCCAGTCTCTGCGAGTAATTGCTGGTTTTGGTCCTCGCAGCGGACGCGATGCAGTCTCACAGCATTATGTTTGCGGATCACTCCAATCCTTCGTCTCCGGCATCTGTTCCAGCCTTCCGCGGGGCGCGCAGGGCCAGTGAAACCAGCATCGCCAGCCAGGTGTCGGGGTTAGCGGACAGTTACACCGCCTCCAACATCGCCAACAGTAAGTTAACACACATACACGCTCGGTTAGAAGAATACAGTCATCTAGATATCAACTATGTCATATTGCAGCAGTGAAGTTAAGTATTTGGTGTTTTTACCCAAAAACACATTTCATTTACCTTAAATATGGAATAAATGAATACATGAATATACACACTACGGTTTAAAAGTTCGGAATCTTTAATATTTTTTTATGTTTTGAAAGAAGTCTTTAATGCTCTCCAAGGCTACATTTATTTGATCAAAAATACAGTAAAAACTATTAAAAATGATGAAATATTGTTACAGTTCAAAGTAACTGTTTTCTATTTTAATATATTTTAATGTCATTTATTCCTGTAATGGCAAAGATGAATTTTCAGCAGCCATTGGGCATGAATTTTAATTAATAATGTTAATTTTGCAGTAGTGCATAAATAGTTTTTTATTATTTTACTTTTTTTTTAATTAGTGTTATCATAATATTATTATTAGTAGTAGTATTATTATCTTTAATAAAAAATTATTACAGTCTTTATCATATGTGACCCTGGAGCACAAAAGCAGTCTTAAGTCGCTGGGGTATATTTGTAGCAATAGCCAAAAATACATTGTATGAGTCAAAATTATAGATTTTTCTTTTATGCCAAAAATCATTAGGATATTAAGTAAAGATCATGTTCCATGAAGATATTTTGTAAATTTCCTACTGTAAATATATTCAAACTTAATTTTTGATTAGTAATATGCATTGCTAAGAACTTCATTTGGACAACTTTAAAGGCGATTTTCTCAATATTTTGATTTTTTTTGCTCCCTCAGATTCCAGATTTTCAAATAGTTGTATCTCGGCCAAATGTTGTCCTATCCTAACAAATCAGCGTTCAGATGATGTATAAATCTCAATTTCAAAAAATGGACCCTTATGACTGGTTTTGTGTTCCAGCGTATATATATAATTTAATATAATTTAATTTATGCATTTAGCAGACGCTTTTATCCAAAGCGACTTACAGTGCATTCAGGCTATACATTTTTGACCAGTATGTGTGTTCCCTGGGAATTGAACCCACAACCTTGTGCGCTGCTAACGCAATGCTCTACCACTGAGCCACAGGAACACAATATATCACACAATATCTTTTGTAACATCAAAAAAGTCTTTGTCTCATTTGATCAGTTTAATGAGTCTGTGCTAAATAAAAGTATTCATTATTTATTTTTATTTATTTTTTTTTTTTCAAGTTTACTTTCCCCAAACTTTTGAATGGTAGTGTGCCACAATTTCCACTGTTTCCAAAGCTGCAGATATAGCTGGGAAATATCACACATATCATGTTCATCTTTTGACTGCTGTTGTTTTGATGTTGTTTTTTTCCTCTAGTAGCGCAAGCATGCCAACTTAGTCTCTCCAAAAAGCTCAGTCTTTTGTCCCAATTGGCGCTTCCCTATAATAAACGCGGCTCCCGAAGCCATTCCCCCAAATCCAGCAAAGCGCCAAATAAGCAGCAGGTAGAAAGGCAGGATTCCAGCTGTTGGGATGATTCAGAGCAGAGCGTCTCTCTAGGCTTTGAGCCCTCACCCTCGCTCGCCTCAGACCCGCTATCTCCATGTGTCCCGCTGGACATCGAGCAAGGTACTTGGAGCGTGGGTAGACGTCTGGTCCGAGGGTCTCCTGGACCCTCCAGATGCACCCGCTCTCCTGTTTGCCTGCGTTAGTTTCTACCATTACTGCATTCCCTGCAATCCCTCCTACTTCCTGTTTTAGACCTCCAAATCTTCAGCCTGTTTTCTTGCTGACCCTCCCTAGCGCTGACGCCCTTGTTTTTTTTCATTCATGCCCCCCTTCCCTTTAATGCTCAGCACTGGTGCTCTGGTTCTTCATCTCGTGAGTCCTGAGCCACTCTGGGTTTGCTCTGAATGATGAAAACCCTCTGAAGATGCTTTGAAGGATGTTGACTTGTCTTGCTCTCATTATCTGGCTGTGCATCATGCTTATGGCATGTATGTCTTCTGTTAGCGGTCGCTAATACATAATAATGGGAATTATAAGGAATTTAGTGATCCTTATTCCACTTAACAATTTTTTTATTACTTTGGAGGAAGCAGTTCCAGCCAATAAGTGGTCCTAAATATATAAAAAAGCAAAATTACTTATTTTTAAATTAAAATTCATTTTTATTTCAAAATTAAAATATGTTTAAAGATTATTAAAAAATTGTTATCTATATTTCATTCAAATTTACTCTTTTTGGTAACATTTTATTGTAATAAAAATACACATTAATAACACATTATGCAAATAATAATATTATTTCTATTATATATTATTTATGCAAATTTGTGGTAGTGCATAAATTACATTTTGTTTGAAATTAGTCTTACCAATTAAAAAAAAAATAACATCACAGGTCATATTGTTATGCAAATAATTTAATATATTATATTATTTGGATGATACTTCAAGCTAGTAAGGAAAATTACTAATTATGAATTTTGCATACAGATCAAGGGCATGAATTGTTAATTTTGCTAAAAAATTGTTTTTATAATTTTTTATTTAAAATTAGTCTTACAAAATTATTATTATTATGACTAATTAAAAAATGAATTACAAAATATATTATTTGCATAATATTATGTAGATAATTATCAAATTTGCGTATAGATCAGGGACATTAATTGTTAATTTTGCAGTACTGCAAAAATTATGTTCATTGCATAATTTTTATTAGTAATGATTCTTACTGTTTTTTAAATACCATATATTTCAAGTCTGAATTTGTTTTTAACAACAGATAAGGGAGTCTTTTTTTAAAAACTGATTTATTTAAAAAAACTACATCATAAGTCATTTGTTTGTGAATCAGACTACACTGTTCACACTGTAGGTTTGTTGTTACGTGCCACCAGTGAGGATGTCGCAATACAAGGATACAATATCTGTTAATTGTCTTTTTTCACAACCCCCAATCTTCCCAGTCAAAATAAAACCAGTTTAAAAAAGAACTGGTTTTCGATTCCCAGTCCTACTTGTAGAGAACTAGAGGCCATTCAAGAACATTCAACCCCTAATTATAAGAATTACAAACCAAAAATAGGGTTGTGTTCTTGAGTGTTTTTGCAATGGGTCATGGAGAGGAAGCAGACGAGAGATGTGCACCACAGCCTCGCACGGCCCAGTGCACATTACAAAACGACAACTTTCCATTTCTTTACTTCCTTTTGAGCCCCTGAAGCAATCCTGCATCACATGTCCTCGTCCTGTCCTAGAACCAGCAGCTGAAATGTTCATAAATGATGTACAGAGGAAACAGAAATCTGTAATGGTATTTGAAGCTGCTGTTGTAGCGGTAATGGTTTGGACAGGCATGACTGAACGTCCCGTGTCGTCTCTCCTGCAGTCGCTGCTCGCTGGTGGGGCATGAAGCGCATTGATTTCGCTCTGTATTGTCCTGATGCTCTGACTGCGTTCCCCACCGTGGCTCTACCTCACCTGTTTCACGCCTCCTACTGGGAATCAACGGACGTTGTGTCTTTCCTGCTCCGACAGGTGAAGATTACCATATGGTTTAAGATTATAAAATATTAATTCTGCTTAAAAAAAGATTCAGGGTTATTTGCACCCAGAAACATCCACTATCAAGTACACAGTGCATTGCAAGCATGCAGTACTGCATTTAAAAAATAAAAAAAAAACAGAATATTCTTGAGTGGCTCTTCTAGGATAATTTTCCATAGTTGATTGTAATGAAATTATATAATATAATATAATATATGTTTTTTTCTAGCTTTTATTCAAATTAATTAATGTATTTATTTATTAATACATTTTGTATTTGGTTATTTAAATATGTCTTTAAAAACTATTATAAAATGGTTATATTTATTATATTAAACCATTTTTGGTAACATTTTATAAAAGGAATTTATCCTCGAAAAATCTTTTTTTTTTTTTTTTTATGAAATTAGGCAAATACTGTATAATATAATTTCTAATGTTTTTTTTCTAACTTTTATTTTTTGTATTTATTATTATGCTATTTTTATTTAGTAGTTTAAATATGTTTAAAAGACTATTTTAAACTTAACATTAAAATTAAAATTTTTATCTTTTTTATATATATAACTTTTCTGTTTTGGTAACAATTTAATGTAATTAAATAAAATCAGTTATCCTAGAAAAGCCGTTCCTTTTAATGAAATTGGACACATATCATTATAATGTTTTTTTCTGGCATTTAGTAAAATACATTTTTAAAACAATGTTTTTATTTTATAATTATTTTATTTTTATTAATACATTATTTAAATGTTTAAAAGGCTATTATGTAATCGGTAGCTTTATTATATTCAACTGTGTTTAATAAAGTTGTTAATATTTTAATGTGATAAAATAATTTGCCAATCAATGAAAAAAAATCTAATTGCAAAAATAAGTAAATACAAAAAGCATTATTTGCAATTCGGTGACACTTCAGCTAGGAACAAAAATCACTAATTATGAAATTGATGTACAGATTGGGGACGTGACTTGTTAATTATTAGTGCATAAATTCTATTTATTGCATAATTGCATGAAATAACATTTGAATTTTACATTAAGACAGTTATCCTACAAAAGCAATTCCTAATGTAATTGCAATTTTTCCGGCTCTCAGGTAATGAGGCATGAGAACTCCAGTATTTTAGAACTAGATGGGAAGGAGGTGTCAGAATTCACTCCGTCCAAACCGCGGGAGAAGTGGATGAGGAAGAGGACCCACGTGAAGATCAGGGTGAGACGGGCACCTCAACATCTCTGAAATCCCAGATTACTCTTAAATCCATTATGGGATTGTTGCTAACGTAAAGATGTGTTTGTGTTGAAGAACGTTACAGCAAACCACCGCGTGAACGATGCCGTGTTTACAGAGGACGGGGATCAGGTGGTCATGGGTCGCTTCATGTACGGGCCGCTGGACATGGTCACACTGACAGGAGAGAAGGTTAGTGCCCTATAAACTTCATTTTGTGTAGATCCCAGTGATAAATGAGTAAGACCACCTTAACTTCTCTCACCTTCTTCGGAAAATGTAAAAAATCTAGTATTATTTTCCATTGGCATCTTATCTAATTCATTTCATCTCATTTTTGTGCCGTTTTCTAGGTGGACATCCACATCATGACCCAGCCTCCGTCCGGCGAGTGGGTGTATTTCAGCACAGAATTGACCAATAGCAGCGGCCGGGTTTCCTACACCATTCCCGAGAGCAAGCGGCTGAGCATCGGCGTGTATCCGGTCAAAATGGTGGTCAGGTACGCCTTCAATCTACATTTGTGCTGCACATAAAAGCTTGTGTTTTCATCAGTTGAACATCGGTGTCTGTGTCCAAAGGGGCGACCACACATCTGCTGACAGTTACCTGACGGTGCTGCCGCGCGGCACTGAGTTCGTCGTGTTCAGCATCGACGGCTCTTTTGCTGCCAGCGTGTCCATCATGGGCAGCGACCCTAAAGTGCGAGCAGGAGCGGTTGATGTGGTCAGGTGAGGGCTTTACTTCATTCATTTATGAACTCTATGAAGCCTACTGTATCGATATATACATTTCTCTAAATGATCAACATGATCGAAACCGTCGTACACAATCTGTACATGCCTTCTGTCGTCTGATTGATAGTTTATATCTTTTTAGCAAGTAAAAGGCCTTTAGTATGAATGTAAAAACATCTGGTTGTGTGGTTCAGGTGTCTTTTTGCTGTGAAATCTCTGTGAAATTTTTATAAAGTAAACATAAGAAGAACTTTTATATTGTTAGTAATATTTTAGAATTCACACTTATTTTAATTTTTTTATACACTTTCTATTTAGTTATTTAAATACATTTAAAAGGCTATTTTATCTTTGTTATATTAAAAAAATATATTAATAATAAAATAAGGGCAATAATCCTAGAAAAGCCATTCCTTTTAATGAAATTGGGTAATTATAGTATAATTTCTAATGTTTGTTTCTGGCTTTTATTAAAATCATTTTTAAAACATTTTGTATTTATTATTTTAATTTATTATGTTATTTGTATTTATACATCTTTATTTAATTAAATATGTTTAGAAGACTATTATAAAATTATCTTTATTATAGTAAAAAATGTTTTGTGTAAGTAGCCTGTTATTCTGTTATAAAAATCTCACTGATTTATATTACAAGCTATCAGAATTTCATCTTACATATAAGATATAAATATCAGCATCTGCTCCAAATTGCATGTTTTTGCTCAGTTTGAGCCACTGTTTTTAATCCTCCACAATATGAGCTCCATATTGTCACTATATCACACTATATGAGCTATAAAAGACTGATGTATCTGACTGATGTATTTGTCCAAAGGTTCAATAATCTGTTCCAATTAAAAAAAAAAAAAAATAAATAAAAAAAAAATATAAATATATATATATATATATATATATATATTCTGACTATTATTTCATATGTCAGGCTTTAGAGGGTTATTAAGACTCACAGGCCAGTCATTTGTAATATTTGCTGTTCTTGACGGTGGTTGGTCCTGTTTCAGGCACTGGCAGGATCTGGGTTACCTGATAGTGTACGTGACGGGACGTCCAGACATGCAGAAGCAGCGTGTGGTGGCCTGGCTTTCACAGCACAACTTCCCTCACGGGATCGTGTCCTTCTGCGATGGGCTCGTACACGACCCCCTCCGACACAAAGCCAACTTCCTCAAGTGTCTCATCACAGAGGTGAGAATATATACAGACGCCTCCTTTTCTGTAGCACAAGGGGATGTGGGTGATACAGTACTATCATTTACAATGCATTAACCCTAAATCAATAGAGATATTTATAAAAAAAATACATAAATCCATGATATTGATAACATTTTCGATCAGGTGTTTGTCGCTAAAAAGTCTTTGCGTTTGAAACAAAATCCAGAAAAAATTTAATGGAAAACACAAAATTTGGGAAAAATTAAACTTTATGGCGATTTCATTGGGGAGTGTAAAATGCATTTCCTTCCTTATTAATGGTATGAAATAAATATTGCCATAAATAACAAATGATGTGGAAAGAAATATTGTGATTAATATTTTTGGCCATATTGCCCATATCGTAGTACAGATAGTATGCTAACTGGTATGCAACCGGTGATCAAAACAAGATGCTTAGAGCATAATAGAACAAGGAGGGTGTTTAGACGGATATTAGATGTATAATGTGTCAGTCTTGGCTTATATTTAAGTGAGATGTCTAATTGAAAAGCAGTTTGATCATGTTTAAAGATCATCCTGCTCTTTTGTAGGCACATATGAAGATCTTCGCTGCTTATGGCTCCACTAAGGACATCTCTGTGTACACGTCACTGGGTCTGTCGCCATCTCAGATCTACATCGTAGGGAGACCAACGAAGAAAATGCAACACCAGTGTCAGGTATCCTTACGCACAGTTTTTCATCTAAACCTTTTAGTTTTTGTGCATTTTCACTGAGCTGTCGCTGTCTCTCAACAGTTCATTGCCGACGGCTACGCGTCTCACCTGTCCCAGCTGGAGTACAATCAGAGATCGAGACCCGCTAAGACCGGCAGCACTCGCATGGTCCTGCGGAAAGGCAGTTTCGGGCTTGGCGGCAGTAGCGATTTCCTGCGGAAGCGCAATCACCTGTTGCGCACCATTTCCTCGCAACCCACATCCTCCACGCCGCCCGTGCAGATAGGACGTCCTGAACGTGCGCAGAGCCAATCGGAATGTGACCGCGAGCGGGCAGAACGTGCCCAGAGGAGCATGAGCATCGCTGCCGGCTGCTGGGGCCGAACCAGCAAACTAGAGGGCGGAGCCCTGAGCCCAAAATAGGCTCCACCCACCAGGTCCAAATTATGGAGGCACTTCGTTCTGGAGGCACATGGGGCTGCAGGATCGGACACAATGAAATCTCACAGTATTACAACAGACTCTGTGAGCGAACCTCACGGCATTACTATTGTTGCATGGGAATTGTTTTCGTTCATGTTTCAGTTTTTTTAGTCCGGCAGCCAAATATTTTCCAGAAATCTAGCGCCTTACGCATGGCTCTGGGTCGTGGCCCTCGCCTCTGACTTGATTGAATGTACTGTTGGGACTGAAAAACGGATCGTTGGGTGGGTATGGACTTTTCCCGCTTTTCCTATAATTCCCCTTCCGGTGTCCGCAGAGATTCCCACACATGTAAATACGTGCCTCCTCTTACCTGCTCAGGGCAGCCTTGAACTCGAAGAGCTGATAAGACCCAGAGACCATTTCACATCCCTCTTCTCATTGGTTTCTGTTGGGCCGGCCCATATCGGCAGCCTCTCCGAGTCGAATCCCAGCAGCATTTGGCAATAAGGATCAAATCATGTCACACCAAACTCCGTCTGCAGGTCATCAGAGGCCTTAACTTCTTATTCAGAGCACGAACGAACTCTCAAAGGAACAGCTATCCCTTTACAAGGCCATCTGCTTGCAATACCTCCGGGATGCCACCTCGACATGGGCTGCTGGGTCACGTTTCTTTCCTCCTTGCTGTTTTGTTCATTTCTGAGCCACCAAACACGATCGTAAGCACACGCCACAACTGCTGAAGTAAAACTTTTCCGCTGCTGCTGTTGCTGTCGACGTGGAGAGAATTTCCCATCGAGGACGCGCCGTGCAGCTCGCTGTATTTGCATGACGACAACGGACAATTTTTCCAAGATTTCGCTCAATCATTTTCTCTCAAAATCCTTTGCACTCAATTCCCGGGTGATCGGGGAGCGATTCGCTCGATCCCGCCGACGGCCAAAACGATTCATTTCGAAAGCTGTAGTTCTGCAACTGCATAACCTCATTGTTTTTTTGCACTAGTGGAATAGTGGAGGTCCTTGTTACCATCTCATGTCGCTACATAATGTTTGTGTGTAGTACATGATCCTTATTATTTATGGCAGGGTATTTTGTGCGCATATGCACGATTATATATTTCTCTGATATATAGGAAACAGCGAAAAAAAAACACAAGAAATGTGCCAAAACCAGGCAGATCATTGGAACCCGAACACGTCTGACGTTTCCAGAGCATTGTAGCAACGTTCCCCAAGCGTTTCGATGGCACATGTATAATGTTTTTAAGATTTTAGATCATTTTAGATCAACTTCAGTCCTTTAAAGTTCAATTCTCTATGATATTGTCCATATGTTCATATGTAAGTGATTGAGGTATATAGAAATTGTGCTTTTAATTTTCGCGATTTTAGATCGGACAGCATGACAGAGTCATGAAACCGTACGCGGTTTGTTTCTGTATCATGAACACACTGGAATAGCCATGCTGCATGTGCGGACTTGTTCTTCGAATCGAACCGGGAGGCTTCGAACGTGGCCTTCGTCCGGAGCGGATGTTCTGAATGGAACTTCAAACAGTGTAGATACTGTAAAGATGTAAATTTCACTAAATAGGATATGTTACGGTCAGAATTTATTTATTTCTGTAGCTCCATAAGATGATGGATATTTCAGGTTTCCATGTGTTGCTTTATTCTTTTGTCCAACAGTTCTGAAATGCTTCTTTTAACGGACCAATGATGTGTCTCCTTGTGCATAATCGTTGATAGTGTTTCCGTAGCAAAACTCTAGACGATGCCACCACCGCCACCGCACGGACAATCAGTTCAGCAAACAAACAAGGCAAGGAGCACACGCACCTACACGTGTACAAAAACGCTCTTATTCTGCAGACCTTCTGGAGACCTCATACTCTGGAAACCAGTTTATCGCATTGAAATTTCCACGTAATGTGAATCGGAATTGTGAATGTGGTTCTGTGATAAATTTGCTCCAAACAACTGAATTTAAATTGGTGCTGTACAACTCTGAAATGGCATTTGGACTGGTATTACTAGTCTTCACAGGTGAAGTTTTAATGTGTCTAGTTTGGTACTAGACATCAGGTTTCTCCATTGAATATGTTGAAAGGTTTATGAACTTGCACCACTGATATCTAGATCACCTTGGTTGTTGGTTTATGATTTGAATGTTAACCACTGAACAAATTCTTAGTCTGGAAATTGCAAATTTCCGTTGCGTTATTTCACACACACACACACTCTTGCCATCTGAACTGACCTGTTTTCAAGCTACTTTCCACCAATGTTGGGCAAGTTGATGCGCTCCATTGAGTTTTATTTCCAAATTGCAGATACATCGCAGGGAATCATACAAAATTGTGATCGACGTTCGGGCCACAGTTTTTACACGGCAAATATACGTTTAAACATCCGCGGCCTCGCTTGTAGGCCGGTGTATGAGTATTATATCCTCAGATAAACCAGATTATAGCCACTTTTGTACTTAGCATGTCACAGAAGAGCTTTCGTACACTTTCCTGTACTCTTCAATAATGGGCCACACTACAAACCTCCAATTTATAGTGATTACAAATATGCTGTTGTCTATATAGATCATCATATCAATTGTTACTACCAAATATTTAAATGATTTTAGCGTTAATCCCAAATCCCCAAATTTTTTTTTTTAAACTAACATCGGAGTATTTGCATATATTAAAAGACGTTGAATGCATATAAATACTGGTCAAATGTTGTCATCTACAGTATTTTTGACATGAAAATGCTGTCATGATTAGTGTGCAGGTGTTCCACAACACAAGCTCATTGGATGAAATAAATATGGCGAAACATCTCTGCCCCATCTTGTTTGTTGCCAAAACTTGCTTTGCAAATAATTTCAAATGAATCACTTTCCCAGCAAATTTTCGATGATGAATGGAGACGTACTGCAGGTTCATTTTACACTCCTGTTGACGTACTGATCTGGGCTGCGTTTCCCAAAAGCATCGTAAACCTAAGCTGATCATAGCTCCATTGCATGGTTCTATGATCAATTTAGGCTTACGATGCTTTTGGGAAACGCAGCCCTGGACTGACTCGCTCCTTTACAGTTTTCTTACCAGGTCGGTGGTTCAGTGCTCTCATATGTATAACTGTATGTACTGTGGATTAAAAACAGTTGGACAACTGTTCACGTCTTCTGTGATTTATCATGCTTTATCAATGTGTAAAAGCTCAGAAGAATTATAATTTTTTTATATACTTTTTTCTGTCTTTTGAAAATATGTAGTCAATTTATATTTATGCTCATTAAACCTTGTTTTTTTGCCTGTTAATGCAAACAGAATTTTTTTTTGCCAAAAATGTGTATTTTAATATTTGACTCATTTCCTTTCATAAATCTAATTTACACTACATAAATTTTTTTTTTTTTTTTTTTTTTAAAACTTTTTTTTTTTTTTTTAAAACAGGACAAAAATGTCCTTACTGAAGCCCATTAAAATATTTCATCCCAGTGCCATTTAAGCATACATTCTTTGTTAATATGCTTTCATTCTGTAGGCAAGGCTTCAACAATGCATACTATTATATTTTATTTTTTACATTTTTACTATTTGGTGAATTGGCATGGACGTCAGAGTATGCAGCTCAGTGGTAGAGTGCATGCATGAGGTCCTGGTTCAATCCCCAGCATCTCCAAGCAATGAAAATTTTGTAGCCTAATGCTTAGTTTGACTTGTAACCTAAAGGTCGTGGGTTCAAGTCTTGGTACCGGCAGGGATTGTAGGTGGGGGGAGTGAATGTACAGTACTCTCTTCCACCTTCAATACCACGACTGGGTGAGACCCTTGAGCAAGGCACTAAACCCCCAACTGCTCCCCGGGCGCCGCAGCAAAAATGGCTGCCCACTGCCCCGGGTGTGTGTGTGCTTGTTCACTGCTCACTGCTGTGTGTGTGCACTTGGATGGGTTAAATGCAGAGCACAAATTCTGAGTATGGGACATGCTACTTGGCTTCATGTCACTTTCACTTTTTTCACTTTCAGTGTTGGTGTGTGAAGGCTTTATTTATATATATATAGATAGATGTGTTCTAATACTTCACACATGCTTATGCTTAGCATTTAGTATTAGAAAAATATATTTTTTGCGTTTTGTTTTTTATTTAAAAAAACAACAACAGAAAAACAGTGGCATAATGTAAATAAACCGGCATTTAAAGAGTTCACATCCTGAAAAAAAGTATCCTTTTGAAAGTATAATAGTTATATCTTTTTGTCACAGGTTTTTCATAAACAACAAAGCGTAGATGTACGTACAATGTAAGTAAGAGATTAATTTCACAGTGTATACAGCTTCAGTGTTTATTTTTTTTTTTAATTTATTTTATTTTTTTTAGTCTGATGCACAATGGTTAATTCAATTCATTTTGAAGTGTGAGAGAAGTAACTGCATGTATTCGTCCCGAACGGTCACGGTACGGACGTCACAGTTCGGTTCGTGCAGTCAGACGATGAATACAGCGACGATCAATCCAGAATGGCGCACGCACGGTAATGCATCGCTAACTGTCACAAAAGGAAAGAGTAGAAGAAGAGACGATTTATGTGACACCAACCTAAAACGAGAACGGTGGCGAGTTCAGATTTTAAATCTGCAGTGTGCGAAAAATTTCGGGTTCTAGAGATAAACCGGTCGACCAGCCATAAATCGGAAAAATTCGTTTTTTTTAGTTTTATTTTGGCCTATCTCTATCCAGGAATTGCACACAAACTGTATGGCAATCGTTTACCAAAATGTAATTTGTGTGGAAATATTATGAAGTCTGCAAACAGGACGCTAACAGAGGATGCTAAAGAAGGACGCAAAGAGGAGAAAACACTGTACCAGGCAGATATAGAAAAATATCAATATTGAACTGGGGGAGGTGGGTTATATAAATGTATCTTTGAGGGAAACTTACTATCTTCAGAAAAGTTTTGATGGCATTTTCGTTTCCACTTACCTCCATGTTATGCAAATTAAAGTAGTGTTTATAGCGCAGAGCTGCTTTGTTTACAGCGGTAACCGCTGCTGTTCCATAAGCGCCACCTGCTGTCAGAGTATTATATTTTGTTAATATTTTGAGGACATTTTTGGTACCAAGTAATATGTGCAATAATAATGATCTATTAATGAACATTTAAAATATAATATTTTCTAATATATTTATTATTTTATTTCAATGAGTGCTATTGTCGCAATTAAAGTGTTGCTCACGTTATCTAACTGCAATTATAGTCTACCTATTATAACGATAAACTATCGTTTATATAATGTGCTTCATAAAATAAAAATACCACTACTGGTTAGATTCCTGAGGTTAACAAATGTGTTAAAATATTTTAAAAATCATGTAATTTCTTCAATGTACCAGCGAGTGTCCCTGAGAAGCACTGAAATGAATGGGCTTCAATGCTGGTACTCCACGTTCCCGTTACTTTTCAACGGCTCTGATCAGACCGAGCGCCACAACACTGTTTTAGCCAATCAGAAACAGGGGGCGTTTACGCTCATAATGGGGAGGAGTCATATGGAGTGGGGGTGGAGTCAAAGAGTGAGCGAGCGGGAGATTTGTAGAAAGAAAGATGGCTGAGGCATAAACAAAGAGAAAAATTGCAGAGGAATTTAAAAAGGATAAAAAGGGTTACGATCAGGCAAGTGTTTGGACCCGCTTTAATAAAAACTGAAAGCTTTTCCTGCGCTGGAGAGACGTTTAGCCAACGGGAAGTCGGACGGACGCCGAGGTCGCTTTGTTTCTGCTCAACACGTGAGTAGTGTTGCTTTTGCTAACTTTGCTAACTGTTGTTGTTGCTACTGTAGTGGCAGGACGGTTTTGAGTGTCATTGTTGGTCTGGAGCTCGTGTGTTGGAGACAACTCTTGTATACTCTTGTGGCATTGCTGCTTGATTGTTCATATGTATTATTATTTTTCTTGGCGCCTATAATTTGATATAGGATGCATTTGATTGAAGTAATTAACAGGCTAGCAAATTGTGTCTCTGGAAAATAATAATCTATGGCAGTGTTTCTCAACCAGTGGGTCGAGGATCATTCCGTAGGGGGTCGCGAGACTTTCTCTGTGTTCTCGGTGTTACACCGGCACAGTAAGTGCACTTCACAAAAGGCTCATTGAAACAGTGACCTCCAACGAATCGTATTTTCGAATGTCGCATGTTGAATCATTATTGCCGTAACTTTCTAACGCTGTTTCTAAACTGTCCTATCACAATAATTTATCACTGCCGCGAACGTCTCTTATTGGACAAGGTCCTACTCTCTTTACGTAATGTTACACACGCTAGCAGCTGTTTACCCCGTTGCTTGGTAACGACGGCGCAGGAGATTGCAATGCATTGCTATGCCAGACCTACTATACACAGCCACGGCCTGTTAGCTTGACAAAATGCATCCGTTTTTTAAAAGAAAAAAAGCAGAAGATTCAGAAACTCCTTCCACTTCAAAGGCAGCAAAATGTAAACAACGCAAGTACAACCCAGACTATATTAAATATGGATTCACTGCGTCGGACGAAAAACCACAGTGTGTTGAGTGTGGTGAGGTCTTAGCAAAGGAGTCCATGAAGCCATCCAAACTTGAACGTCACCTACAGACTAAACATCCAACATGTGTGGGTAAACCTGTGGATTACTTTGTACGAAAGCGAGACCTACTTAAAAGACAGCAAAGTAGTATTGTGTCGCTCACGACAGCTTCAAAAAGCACCCTGAAGGCAAGTAAATCAGTTTGTCTCATAGTCTGCCTAATTATTGAATGATTATTATATAGTGTTTTTGTGAAATTAATTATAATAAGCATATACGGTGTAGCCTAGGTCTAAAGAGGCATTTCAGTTATTTATTTATTTCCAGCCTTAGTGGGTCGTATGACTGGCATACAAAAAAAAAGTGGGTCGCAGTAGGCAAAAGGTTGAGAAACCCTGATCTATGGCATTGTATTATGTTGAATATCAAAGTTTTTTCGTGTCTGTTATTTAATTAGGTATTTATGGACACATCAATGTTGTTATATTTGTGAAGTAAAAGTTATAATTTTTATTTTGAAGTAATAAGCTACAATTAAATCCTTGGGGCAAGATGACCCACCAAGAACTGGCGCGGTGTTATTTTTAAATTTAACACTAATTAATAATTTAATTAATATTTAATAATTAGTGGGGTTATTATTTAATATTTACATAAATTAGGTGTACATTTCAGATATCGTCACTTTCATTAAAACCTATAGGTTAATTAAAAGTCAATTAATTGAATTAAATTTGCATGCTGCTATTATGGTCTTCAATTAAAATATGGCCAATTAAATATGTAAATATTCATGTGTCTGTATATAAGTTATAGAACAGTTTTATCTGAGATTCAGAGCTAAATTATAGGGGGGTAAAGATGACTTCAGAAAGTTGGCTGCATCATGTTATTTTTACACAGAGATCAGTACAGTAGCTCTATTAGTAAAACCTGTTGACTTTAGCAATCTTTGTTACATTATGTGCCAATGGTGACCATTCAAAAATACGTTTTTTTTTCTCCAAAGTTTGCATGCCTGTAACTCGAAGTATTAAAGATATCTAAATATGATCTTAATAAACATTTCTTTTGTAATCGTAATTTTTAAGGCCTTATATCATTCATTCAGAATGGTAGCTTGTTTCCCTCTATCAAGATAATTGCATAGAACATACCTGTCTAAGTGCTAAAAATGCACTGAAATAAAGTTAAGATTCTATATTTGAATCAGTTTGAGGGATATTTGGAAGAAGGGGTTTTGTTCATTTTTACAGCTTCTGAAGCTACCAAGAGTTCAGGTATGCAGTATCGTAACTAACATGTTTGAAACAAATCGCCTCATAAGGAAAAGTGGTTGCTCTCCCTACTCATTATATTCACATTAATAAACCAAATTTTGTCCCACCTGGAATTTCTTTGTTATTGTTATATGTGAAGCATAGTCATAGATCAAGTAGTATCCACTGCTGAAGGACAGAATCACTGATAGTACCTCAAACTAGGGCTGGGCAATATAGCTAAAAAATTTATCAACGATATAATGTTTCCTATCGTTCGGTATCGATAATTATTGACATTTTTTATAACCTTTTTTAAAACAAAGAGCAATAGAAAAAAATGTATAA